AAAACAAAAACAAACTAACTCAACAAGTTGTGTAGAAACATAGGTTAACCCAAGTTTAAGAGGGGATCTCAACCAAGCTTATTAAGTATTTCACTAAGGAAAGTTTGGAGGGAGTTTAGCAAACATAGTTATGTCCAAACTTACAAGAAATAATGCAAAATCTTTACATCTAAATATATTCACCAAACATTTGGTTAAACCTCTTTACATGCTTCATGAATTGTCTAAAAAAAAGACATCTCAAAAACCCTCAAAGGCTTTTCATCAGACATTCTATGTGCATGACTTTACAAAGAAACAACATAACCTCTCATGAATTTTGTAGTTCACACCTAGGCTCTAAATCCCATGTCGTGAAGTAAAAGCAAGGCCACATACTAATTTGCCATTCAAAAATTAGATAGATCAACAAATTAGAAGGAAATAAATTACTACATGATTCCCAAAATCAACTACTCCAACTATCAAGGAATCTAGAGTGCATACATTCATCAAAAGAAATAAATGGTGTGATGACATACACACCATGGGTTTCATTCTACACTTTGAGCTTAACCAAAATAAAACTCCTTATTGATATGATTTGCTACCAACCAACAAAAAGAAGACTCACAAAACTCTAGATTTTGAGTGAGATAAAGTCATGATAGTTAGAATAGAGGAAGAAGAAGAAAAAGAAGCAAAGGAGGAAGAAGAAGAGGGGGAAGACTCACAAAGGGGAGTTCGACCAGTCCAGGCGTCGGTGACCGGGGCTCACAAACGCGACGACGAGCTCGGATTCGGTCGTGAAGGTCGGATCTGGGTTCGCTGCAGGGGTCCGATCCCACCTGAGGTCGTGCGGGTCTCGGTTTGGTCGGATTTCGCGAGGCCGACGTCGTCGAGCTGGGGTTGTGCGGCTTCGGGATCGGGAGAGGGAGAGGGGCCGGCTTCGACTGGTCTTCGTGAGCAAGAAAGACACGAGAGGGAGAGGTCGCTGGGGTCGTGCGAACAGAGGAAGCCAGCGGCTGCTGGGTTCGGGGTCTCCAAAATGGGGCTTCGGCTCTTTCGGTTCAGAACAAAGAGAGCGAGAGAGAGAGGAGAAGCGGGAGAGAATGCCGTAGTCGAAGGCTTCCTCTCGGTCTTCTAAGCATCTCCTCCTGTCCTGCTTCGCTCGAATCATCCAAACAGCCCTGCGACGCTCTGCTTCTTTGCCAAATCGTCTGAAACGATTGCCGATTCAAGGAGCTCACGCGACTGAAGCCTGCCGTTGCGACAGAGCTCGACTTTCAGAGAAATCTGCACCGTCGAAACCATTACTTGATCCGGTGAATAGATTCAAATTTATTAGAAAGTGAAAGGGATTTGGCTGGGGTTGAATTGAACTGAAACGAGTCCCATTGGATTAAAATTAGGTTAAACTCGGGTTTGAATTTGGCTCGATTCGAGTCGAATTTGGTTCGAGCCGGAGCGACGAAATTAATCGTGCAAAATTGAATTTGAAATAATGATCAATTTAAATAAATCGGTCACGACGCGATGGAAACAAGCTAATCGAGTCTAATCGAACATATTCGAGTCCAATTCGGCTTGAATCGGGTCGATTCGAGCCCGAATTAGATTCGACGACATTCGATTAAATCGGGAGGAACTGCTCGAGCGAAAAACAAGGTCAACAATATATATATGTGTTGCGTGCTAGAATATACGCGGCGGTAGAGTTTGTAAATTCGCGTCCAAGCGTTGTACGAGTATTCAGCACACAAACAGAAAAGAGAATACGAACACCATAATTTTTACATGGAAAACCCAAAAAGAAAAAAACCACGGGGCCTCGCCCAGTTGAAAAATTCCACTAGTGTTTTGCAAATTACAAATGGCTAATTCGTCCCACAAGTCGGGGCAATCAGATTATAATTCGTTTCTTCAAGCAAGTTTACAAAGTTCTGCAAATTCCAGGCGTTTCCCGAAAATCCGGCAGAGTTCCGGCGTCTTCAGGCAGCGGGAAGAGCTCCGGCGGTGGTCGAAGAGGAGCTTCCGACAGCGCTTCGGGTCCTTGTTTCGGACCCATTTGGGCTCGGATTGGTTGATCTTGGTGTTGTTGGGTTCGTATTTTCGAGACGCTCAGTTTGACTATAAACTCGCTGAAATTGGAGTTCGAGTGCTCCCGAAATTAATTTTTGAAGTTTCCAACTAACTTTTGCCTCGAGATTCGTGCCCAATCAAGCTAATTTTGTGATGCCGGATTAATACTTAATATCTAAATTTGAATATTTGCTTATATAATATTTTAAAGTTTTCATCATGTTAAAATAAATATATGAAAAGATATATAATATTTTAAAAAATAAATATTTAAATATTATTGTTGAATGCTAAAGGCTAATGATCACGCTATTATCACCCAAAATTTCTCAATCCCAAGTTCCTTGCTCCCAACAACTCTCTACCTTGTTACTATTTTTAATTTAACCGCATATTTCATGTATAACTCAAAATAGTTTTTATGTAAAACTTTTAGTAACATTAATAGTTTTTTGGATTTACAAATACATTTATTTTTTTACAAATATTTAAAAAATATTTTATAGTTCATGAAAATTAAGTACAAAATAACCTATATATAAACTATATAGAACTTTTATAGTATCTTCCAATGCATGAACTAAACTTGCATGGAGAGAAACAAGAGTGAGAGTAGTCTTATTTGTAATGACTTCATTAATAGGAAAAAAATAGCATGGCTGCATGTAGCTCATTATATGCAAAGAGTCAAAAATATTATCTATTAGTAGAATTTTTTATGAATGGTGTTGAATGCTTTATTAAGGTTCGTTTGGGACAATTTTTTATTATTTTCAAAGAAACTTTTTAATACAAAAAATTTTAGTTCTAAAAAATTTTAAACTTAAAAAATGCTTTAAAAATAATAAGAATGTCGTTTCAAACGAAACCTAAGAATGGGTTAGAAAACTAATTGATTAACTACATGCATCTACGTGATTAGAGAGATCATATTTATGAGCATTCTTTATGGTATGATAGCCTATCTAATTTCTCCTCTATGGATGTTTAAGATTTATTTTAATTGTCCACACTACCTTTGAGAATATTGGTTATATTATCTAGCATGATTATACTAGTGTTTGATAGATTACAAATGACTTGCTCGTCCTTGAAATTGAGGACAATCATATTACAGAAGTCAACAATTAGGTTGTAATCTAGTGACGAATGAAGTCTCTCTCTCTCTCTCTCTCTCTCTCTCTCTCTCCCTTATTTTAGTTTCTCTTCTATGAGGAATGAGGTGTCTGTTTATAATTTTCAGAGAGCGGCATGACTAGTAAATATGAGGGAGATCAAGGGTAAGTTGGGCGTGATTTGAATGGACGGCTGATGTTACGGATTCACATAGAGGGGGGTTGGTTTGCAAGAGGAGTAGGTTCGAATCCTGTGCAGGTCATGTTGCACCGGCAATTCGGTTAAGTCGCATGTCAGGTGAGAGAGGGCAGCCAGTCAAGCTCGGGTAGCAGTCACGCAGGAGCGGGCTGGATGGTAGGCTCGGGCAGTCGGGCGATTAGGTAGGAGAAGGCAGTAGGCCAATTTCAGGTAGCAGGCAGCCAGTCAGATTAGAATTTTTTATTTTTAAATTCTACCGTACATCCGTCGCAAAATGGATTTTGCGATGACTTTTTCCATCTAAAAAAATATGATTTTCATATAGTGTAAAAGTAGATCATTCAATCAAATCACTCTAAAATTCCTCGATATACTCTTGCATTTCTCTCTTTCCTTTTCTTCTTCTATTTTTTTTTTTTGCCACCCTTATTGATTAAACTTAAGTACGTACTAATGTGCTTTCCATATCTTCCCTCTTATGAAGGATGTATATGCACTCTTTTCACATAGACTTGACGAGTAATCATCATCATAAGTCTTCTCTCATAGAAAGAGAAACACAAAAAAAGACCATGAATGATTTACTAACTATATCTCCAATACATCAAATTCTTTATACTTTCATCATTAAAGTATTCTTCCTTAGTACGTATCTATTATAATGCATCAACACTTCTCCAATTATGGTGAAAATCATCATAGTAATATGTGACTCGTGCTGCCCCCTCTTCTTCTTGTCTTCTTGTTATCTTCAAAGAAGGGGTGGCAAGCGGTGCAACACAATCAACCAGTAATAAAAAAGGTATTCAATCAAACACCTAAAGTTTAAATCCCCATTTTTTTAAATATTTTACATTTATTTTTCAGCAAATAAAGTAGCCTCTAAGATGCATCTCTTTATAATTATAATAAGAAGAATTTTAATGAACTGGAAATAATAGTAACTCCTTAAGATAATTTCACCTTTAATTTTAAATTAGAGTTCCGTCAAGTGGATTAGCACACAATAATCATCTTAATTAATCACTAACAATTAAATAATCCTATATTAAAATAATGCAAAAAAGTAAAGTAAAAAATATGGAGACAAAAATACCCTTTTCCATGTCCATTCACTGATCCTTCTGTCAACACAATAAATAAACTCACCGAATCCACCAACTCGCAATAAATAATAATAGAAATTTTGAACCGGTTCGGCCCGACCTTTCGACCGGGTTGAAACTACTATAGCCGATTGGCGGTTCGATTTACCCCGGCCGCCTGTTTCAAATTTAAAACTCCCACACAATCCATCAACGCAGAAATTTATTTACGGAAATGTCCTCACTGATTCTAGAAAAGCTGGTTCATACGGCAGCCGTTGGATCAATAATGTATTCGATCAAACGGCCTCGATCTTCCTATCATTCCCATGCATTAAATTCTGAACTGCTCAAATCTACGGCGGCCTCGGGGAAAATGCGACGTTAAATCAAGCACGAATCATGAGGAATTCGCTTTGCATAAGAGCCAGGCACGTGGATGGCTTGTTCTCAAAATAATGCTAACTAGAGGGGTAAAAATAAAACGCGAATTTCGGCAAATATCTTCTGCAAAAGACTGGAACCAGCAAGTCTGCAACTTTGTCCTTGCGCGCCGCAGAAGGAAGCAGCAGCCAAGAACGAATCAAAAGATTGGATTTTAGTTTTTTGTCGCGAATCAAAATTTTGTTTTATGTTGTTCTAATCAAAATTTAATTTTGTTTTATCCGAAAGATTTGGGAATGCTTGCATGGGAGCCTCGCAGTATAATGCCCAGCGCGGTCATTTGGTTTTTCAATCTCTGCTTCCACGCTCTCTATGATTTGATAGCTTTTGATGCGATTCTAAACTGAAAAGATCGCGTCTTTGGGGGAAGAATCTGTAGTGTATTTATTCCATTGCGTTGAAGTATTTGGGAACTTGAGGGAAATCTTGGAAAAGTGACCATAAAGAAGGGCCAAGTTTTGTTGCGAGTGATTGAGACAGGACTGAATATCTTTTTTGCAATTACTGTTGGCTGATCAACCCCACAATCTGGTTACTGTGTGGTTTAATTTATGACAGGGGGGATAATAGTGGAAAGTATGATTGCATCCACTTGTCTTCACTGGCCTACGATGTCATTGTTACAGGAATAGGCTCGTGCTGCCCCTTCTTCTTCTTCTTCTTCTTCTTCTTCTCTTCAGTTATTTTCGAAGTTTGATATAAGCGAAGGGTTTGACTGACTGGATAGTTGGTGAGCTATGAGGGGCTAAGCGGTGAGTACGAATTTGAAGCTGAAGATGGGGAAGAAGCATGATGATCTGGTTCATAGAAAGATTATTGTGGTTGCAGTTAAAGCTTCTCAAGATGTCAAGACGACTGCATTGGTGTGGGCTCTGACACATGTTGTTCAGCCCAGTGATCAAATACTTTTTGTTGTTGTTGTTGTTTCATCACGCAGTGCAGGTTTTAAATTTTCCAACCTTTGTTATTGCTTTTCCTTGATGTGCTGCTTTGATTGTCGTCAATCATGAATTATCTTTTTTTGTTTTTTGTTTTCTTCTTGTACTCTGATTACTCTATTAAGCAAGAGGGAACAATCTTTGACGTTTGAATGAATTCTAGTGTTCAAGATGGAGAAATGGGTTCTTTTTTCTTATCATCCTTATGTTTTTCTTCGAGTTCCATAGTTTCTTATCACTCAAAACCTAAGTGGAAACTATGTTATTGTCTTACACACTTTGCAGGGTAACTGACAGGATATTAACAATATTTTCTCAAAATTGTTGTTTTACTTTCTATGTTAATTGGAAAAAAATTGAGTTTTGTTTCTGATGTTACATAAAATTTACTTCATTGGTAGTTTATTTTACATTTCTTGTTGATAGAACTGTTACTTTCTCATTTTCAGTTTATATCATGCCCAGTGGGCTTGTCAAATTAAAGTTGTTAATCTGATGTCATTTACAAACTTAGTAAGTTGTCCTATCTTTTTCATTCAGGCAGAAAAAATTGGGGGTTTCCCAGATTTTCAGGAAATTGTGCAAATGCCTATAGGAATTCAAAGACTTCTGGCAGAACTTCCAACTTGGAGTCTAATATACAGGATTCATGTTCCCAAATGATTACTCAACTTCCTAAAATATACAATTTGGATAAGGTTGGTCTATCTGGTTACTGTTATGTGTTATTTATTGACATTTCTTTTTGATTAGCATGCTTTTATGATGTTCTTTATGTAGACAAATTTTAAGCTTAAGATTGTACCTGGATCTCCTTGTGGAGCGGTGGCTGCTGAATCCAAGAGGGTGCAAGCAAGCTGGGTAGTAATGGACAAGTAATCATTAATCACTGATTTTTGTTGTTGTTGTTGTTGTGAAGAGAATTTAATCTCAACTTTCTGAACTTCGTAGTTTTCAAAGAAGTTGGTTGGGGTCTTATACTGGGCAAATTATTCTGTGCGGACGCCGAACGCCGTCCAGAGACCAATCAGAATACACCACGGTACTACAGCTCGTACCGTGCTCGGTACTGCTGACGTGGCGCATTCTGGTTGGTCTCCAGATGGTGAATTGCGTTCGGCGTCCGCACAGAATAATCTCTCCTTATATTGTGTGTTTTCCTCAATCAAATATAACCTTTTGTATTTCCCACCTGACACAATTCTTTCAACCATTGGAGCACAGACAACTGAAGAATGAGGAGAAGAAATGCATGGAAGAGCTGCAATGCAATATTGTGGTTATGAAGCACTCTCAACCGAAAATTCTGCGACTGAATCTTGCAGGGAAACCTGATACAGAGCCCATAGCTATCTCACCGCATTCTGTGTTAGATAAAGCATCTTCAAAACTTGCTGTTGATCATCCAAGCAGTACCGAAGATTCAATTTTGACTCATTCTGACAGCCCTTTAGTTGGGACACCATATGCTACTGTTGAAGGTGGAAGCACCTCTCAGTCAAGTTCAGATCCTGGAACTTCGCCACTTCATGCATCTAAATTAAAAGGCAGTTCTGTTCAAGAAGCAACAATTATCCAAAAGGAAACCGTTTATACTGATTTAAGTAGTTCTGAGTCTGACATTGAAAGCTCAGGTTCTCTTGCAACTTCAAAATTTCAACCATCAGGGGCACAGATTCTCAGTGTTGATCTGAAACCAACTTTTCAAGTTGAGCAACTCTCAGAAAAACTGAATAAACTGGTGCATCCTTTGACTCACAAAGCATTGATGTATAAGTTTCTTGATCTTGATTTAAAAGCTGGAAGCAGCACTATGAACCATAAATCAGTTCCAGACTCCAATAGGAATATCAGAGAATCAATTATGACCCTATTAAGAAATGCACCTCTGGGACATCCTCCTCTATGTTCAATTTGTAAGAACAAGGCACCTGTTTTTGGGAAACCTCCCAAATCTTTTAGCTATGCTGAGCTGAGCCTTGCAACTGATGGATTTTCTCAATCCAACTTTTTGGCTGAGGGTGGATTTGGCTCTGTTCATAGAGGAATTTTGCCTGATGGTCAGGTAGTTGCCATTAAGCAGCACAAACTAGCCAGTTCTCAAGGAGATGATGAGTTCTGCTCCGAAGTTGAAGTTCTAAGCTGTGCACAACATCGCAATGTCGTGATGCTGATTGGCTTCTGTGTTGAGGATAATAGAAGATTGCTTGTTTATGAATTTATATGCAATGGATCTCTGGATTCTCATCTGTATGGTAATTTTTGTATGCACAAAATCAGCTTGGTTCTTTACCACCCTATTTTCGAATACAAGCTTTGTTTTTAAAAGTAAATGCTTCAGTGAAAACCCAACTATCATGTTCGTAAATTTGTGCACAAGATAAAAAGCATGGCCTAATCAGTTTGAATAGTTTGAATTGGATGGCCTAACTAATGCTTCATTTGGGACGGCTTTCTTATTGCTTCTTAAAGCAGTTTTCTAGTACAAATTTTAAAATTTTTGTACTAAAATACTATTTTAAGAAGCAGTAAGAAAGCCGTCCCAAACGAAGCCTAAGATTTATTTATACCACTACAATTATCCCTATAACTTGGTGTTTTAATGTTTATAGATTCAAGTCAAAGACCATTGGACTGGTGTGCTAGACAAAAAATTGCAGTAGGTGCTGCTAGAGGACTGAGATACCTTCATGAAGAGTGTAGAGTTGGTTGCATAATCCACAGAGATGTGAGACCAAACAACATTCTCATCACCCATGATTTTGATGCACTGGTATCCAACTTTCACTTTCTCTTGTTTGTTTAGGAGCTTGAATTTAATTGTTTTCTTTCCTCTTAAAATTTTCACTGCTTATAATGCAGTTTTTCATCTATGGTCTCATTGCAATACATGCATGATTATTAAATTAATTTTTTTATAAGAAGAGGAAAATTTAGGAAAGTTTCCTATTCTCCACAATGCTAGTACCTGATTGATACTTTGTTTTTTTTATTAAATTACCATATGTTAAATTTTGAGGAAGACAAACACATGTCTAAAAGGACCTAGATGCCTAGTGGCCAGAAAACATATGAACTTATTTTTTTGGTCTACAAAATGGAAGTCATAGTTGCAATTATATCCTAAATGTAAGGACCTAGATTTTATTTGTCCCCAAGGATTTTGTTCTTTCTAAAGTGTGTTATAAATCTTATATCAAATCTATTCATTGTTCTTTGAAGTGCAGTTGATGAGTATGCAAAATAATTGGGGAAGTTTCTATTCTCTGCGATGGCAGCACCAGATGGCTTTTTTTTTTTTTGGTTTTGTTTTGCTTTTCTCAAACAGCCTCATTTTAAATTTTTAGAAAGACTCTTACATGTCATGTTCAGTCATATTTATGTTATTGAGTAAACGGCATCCACATTTGTGAATCATGCATAGATTATTTTCTATGTTGCACACCCTTTCTCATTTTATTGTCTTGCAGCTACATCTACATTGTTCTTTGTTCCTATATGGTGTCTACAAAGCTATTGACATAAAGAAAACATTGACGTGTCGGTGCATAATTTTGTAAAAACATACAATCCGAAATTCCAAAATAATTGTTGTGATTGGTCCAGATTTATAGTTGTATTTTCTTTAGTTTAGGTTCTTGTATAGCTTTTTGTGCTGCCTTTATTGTCTATATATAGATGTTATAGTTTGTAAGGAAGATAAGAAAAATAATAAGATTTTTCTTTTTTTAGCTCCCTCCTCTCTCTCCTAAGAAGCTCAAGAGGAACTACTTCTTCCTCAAGAAGATCCTACAAGTGGCATCAGAGTTAGGTGGAGGTGGAGTAAGTTTTTTTGTCCAAGAAAATAACTCAGAAGAGAGGAGGCGGTCAGGAGGTCTCTTGCAGGGACCGGCCGGTGTTGGGAGTGTTGAAATCGGGAAGGCTAGAGCAAGGGTGCCGGACGTGGGACGCGGGCTGCAGTGTAGGGCGCATTTTGATGCACTGGATCCAGGCTACTGCACGGGAGTGCGGGTGGGCCAGAGCGAGCAAGCTAGGCCCGGGGTGCGTGGTGCTTGAGGTTGGTCGCATGGGATGCGTTGCGACAGGGGAAGCCGTGGGCTGGTCCTAGAAGGCACGCAGGGTATGCGTGAGCGAAGGCTTGAAGGGAGTCAAGCTGGAGGCTTGAGTAGCGCGAGATCGGATCACCTGCATGGAGGTGTGAGTGCAGGCAGACGACAGGAGCTGTGCGCGGGCAAGCTGGGAAGGCAGAGGTGAACGCTGCAGTGCGTGGAAGGCTTCTTGCACGGATTGTTTTTGGTGTTGCTCTTGCGATCAAATTCATTATGCAATTCTTGATTAAAGATTGTAGATCTTGTTGAGGCGAACCTTTGGTAGCTAAGATTCTTGATCATGTCGATACATAAATTCGAAATAGACAAATTTACTGGTGAAAATGATTTCGGCTTTTGGAGAATCAAAATGAAGGCTCTCCTTGTTCATCAAGGAACCTCTGAGGCGATTTGCAGGGAAGATTTGATTGTTGTAACTGACAGGGCAAGGTCTAGGCAAACCAAATTGAAGGCTCACAGTGCAATTCTTTTATCGCTCAGTGATGAAGTAGTGAGGGAAGTAGCCCAAGGGGGTTTTACTATAGAAGTCTGGGAGAAATTAGAATCATTGTACTTGAAGAGCTTATTGGCAAGTTGGTTGTATCTAAAGAAAGCTTTATACACATTGCTGATGAATGAAGGTAAAGACCTAAAAAAATATATTGATAACAAAATTATTCTTGATCTTAAGAATGTAGATGTAAAAATTGAGGAAGATCAATGCATTATTCTCCTAAGCTCTTTGCCAAAATCATATGAGAATATAGTGGATACATTACAATATGGTAAACAAACATTGATCATGATTGAGGTAAAGTCGGTTTTAGAGTCCAAAAAACTTCAGCTTAGGAATGTGGAAAAAGAAGAAAGTGTTGGCAAAATTCTGATAGTAAGAGGAAGACACGAGTTCGTAAGATATGTTTCTATTGCCATAAAGAATGACATTTCTATAGAAATTTCCCAAATTTGTTGAAACGACAATGAGCTAGGCCTCAAAGACAGACGCCAACTTAGCTGAGACGGGAGATTTCGGGGACCTATGTAGTGACTCAAATGTTTTGTAAATCTGAATCAAGGTGGAGTTTATTGTGATTTGTCTAGATTTATAGTTATACTTTCTTTAGTTTGGATTTTTGTGTAGCTTTTCGTGCTATCATTAGTGTCTATATATAGATGTCATAATTTTGTAATAAAGAAGATAAGAAAAGCAATAAGATTGTTCTTTTTTAGCTCTCTCTCTCTCTCTCTCTATATGTACAAACATTATACACACTATGTACAAGTTTATACAAGTATTATAGATGCTTTGTACAAGCATTATAAACACTATGTACAAATTTATACAAGCATTTTACACACTATGTATAAGTTTATACAAGTATTATAGATGCTTTGTACAAGCATTATAAACACTATGTACAAGTTTATACAAGCATTTTACACACTATGTATAAGTTTATACAAGTATTATAGATGCTTTATACAAGCATTATAAACACTATGTACAAGTTTATACAAGCATTTTAGACACTATGTACCTGCCTCCCTCCCATTTTAAAATAGGCATCAATTGGAGTTCCTTTTTATTAGAATGTATTGTTCTTTTTATTCTTCATGATTGTGTATTTTGAAAATGAAATAAAATCTGGTGTTTGAGTCATATTTCATGGAGAATAATAATGGACTTTTAAAATTCTGTTCAGGTTCATGGCTTATGTACAGAATGTGTCATTCATGAAAAACATGTATAAAGATCTCTCACAGTTGCCTGTAGCCAAAACAATATTGCTTTATATACTAGGCCACAGATCGTGCAAGTTTTACCCCAGCTTCATGTCACCTTTATACATCCTTTAATAACATCTAATATCTGGAAATTTCACCCCCCTATAGTTTAGCCATATATATATATTTCTCACTTCATGATCTACACTGCAACCGATTTTGTCAAGAAACCTTCTTAAACTAAAAACTTCTTGTGTTTCTTTGATCATTGTATTAATCCTTTGCTGAGTTTCTTTTCATCTTTCCATAATCTGCAAAGTTTCCTCTTGTGAATGACAGCACATCACAGGAAAAAAAATATACCTACGTCGAGCAGGGCAATTTTTCTCCCTCAACTGTTAGAAATTTTTTTGCATACAGAAAAGTATTTGAAGTTTAACGTGATTTCCTTTGGATCCCTTCAAGTTTGTTATGAAAATACTTGATGTTATTAATCATTAAATTTCCTTTCTATTAGACCTTTTTTTGTGTTACTCCAAATACTTTTTTATATGCACCCTCAGTCCAAGGTCATGATTCCCTCTTCTTAGCAAAACTCATATTTCTTCTTAGCTTATCCTCGTTTATGATTTCAACTATCTGGTCTCATTTATTTGAATCCTTGGCAAGAAAAGAGTTATTTTTTCTTAATTTTCTGTTGGGAGAACTTGCTTGTATCTAAATCTTGAAAGGTATATATCTTCATGTTTTTAAATAAACCAAAGTAAATGAACATGATTTTCAAGATAACAATCCATCTACAGAGAAATTATTCTATGCGGACGCCGGACACAATTATACGTCCGGATGCCGTGGTACCGGGCGTCGGTACATGTACCGAGTATCGAGCAGTATCGAGCCGCGGTATAGTAAAAGGGTGACATGGTGCATTTTTATTGATCTCTGGACGTCATTCGGTGTCCGCACAAAATAATTTTTCCCATCTCCAAGCTTGCAAGAGAAAATGACTTGTTTTCAATTATAGCTGATAACAGAACTATAGATGTCGATAATGCCGGATGTATTAACATTAATTCTGATACATCATTCTTTCAATTTTGGTTCACCAAGGTTGGAGATTTTGGCTTGGCAAGGTGGCAACCTGATGGGAACCTTGCTGTCAAAACACGAGTGATTGGAACCTTTGGGTAATCTTGCTATGAAAATTTCATCATTTTCTCATCGCATAATTTATATTATCACTAATTGATTGCTAGTCATCTCTAGGTATTTGGCACCAGAATATGCTCAGAGTGGCCAAGTTACTGAGAAAGCAGATGTATATTCCTTTGGAATAGTACTCCTTGAACTTGTAACTGGAAGGAGAGCAGTAGATATTAACCGGCCAAAGGGCCAACAGTGCCTGGCCGAATGGGTGAGTCCTTACATGACTAAAATTACATGCATATCACACTTTCTCCAGCTGTATGACAAAAGTTACATCATGGTCATGATCGAGCTCGGCTCGTTTATGGACTCGCAAGCCGAGCTTATCAAGCTCAAACTCGATCTCATTTAGTAAATGAGCTTGAGTTCGAGCTTGAGCCCTGCTTGACTCGTGAGCTCACGAGCCGGCTCGAATTTATTACTTTTAAATATTTTAAAAAAATTAATGATAAATAATGTATATATCTAACTCCCGCCTTTAGAAAAAAAAAATCTGATTTTGAAATTTGTACTCTACCCCCTCTCTCTCTTGAATAATAAATGCTACAGAGCGGTACAAAAAAAACTGCTCTCTCCATCTCTCTTTCTCTCTAAATGGAATTTTTATTGCGTCAGGTTACCTGACGTAGAGATACATCAGGTAGCCTATAATATATCGCCACGTGCTCTTACTCTTTACCGCGCGGCCCGACGACCCAACCCGAAACGAATATGCGCGGCGGTAAAGAGTAAGAGCACATGGCGATATATTATAGGCTACCTGATGTATCTCTACGTCAGGTAACCTGAGTCAATAAAAATTCCTCTAAATGAGGCTTAAAAGCTGCGGCCTTTTCCCATCAATCCATGTATCTTTATTTTCTCCTAAATGAAAACCGGGTGGGAAATTGAAAATGGGCATGAAATTGAACAGCTCGATGAGCCAACTGGAGCTTGTTTATAGTGGGACAAGCTCGAGTTCAAGCTCGCCTTATGAGCTCGACTCGAGCTCGAGCTCGCTTTCTGACAAACGAGCTGAGCTCGATAGTGCTAAAACTCGACTCGACTCGTTTACACCCCTAGTCATGATACATGCTAATCTCTTTGGGTTAGCTTTGGAATGTTTTTCAGTTACATAGAAAAGTATCATATACCATAAGTTTGATTTATATAAAAATATGCGACCAAATGTTCAAAGAATATACGCTCGATCATAAGCAACATATTGTAGATCAACTGAACCATTTTGTTTTGTTCAGGCTCGCCCAATTTTGAAGGAATATGCTATTCAAGATCTTTTAGACCCACGGCTAAGAAACATTTACTGTAATCATGAGGTTTTTTGCATGTTGCATGCTGCTTCACTTTGCATCAATCGTGAACCCAATTCCAGGCCTCATATTTCTCAGGTAAATGTACAAGTGAGAAACTTTTGAGATAAGTAAACCACCAATGGCGACAAAATTAAAACCTTGAAAAAAAAAAAAAACTCAGTACTTCAGAAATGTAATCTGGCTACTAAAATATGCAGGTGCTCAGGATACTGGAGGGTGATATTTTCATGGAACAAACTTACGCTTCAACGCCCCTTGCTATAAAGATTAAAGGATTGGGCAGTCATAAACAGATCAACAACAGCAATGGCTTCACTGCAACAATGTTATCCAACTTGGGATGAAAATGTGAGAGCAGTTTTTTGTTGGGAGGGGTAATGGCAATAAATTCTAGATCCAGAGATGCTTTTCATCTCCTTTCCCTGCAGCAGCTGCTTATGATGTAATTTAGGCTTCGTTTGGGATGACTTTCGTACTGTTTCTTAAAGCGGTTTTTTAATACAAAAAATTTAATTTTTGTATTAGAAAGAAGCTTTAAGAAGCAGTTAAAAAATGGTCTCAAATGGAGCCTTAGATGGATCTGCAATTGTTTTCTGATACTGAAATGATCTGTTCCTTTTTAATTGCTTTGAAATCATAGCTCAATTAACAGCACATTATATTGATATTGTGCGCATGGAGAGAATCTGAAGCCAATTATAGTAATGATCTTTGGAGTTCTTTGATTCTGTAAGACGTAATTATACTCTCAGCTGATATTAGATGTTAAGTTACAGGGGAAGATGATAGAGTTGAATTCATTTTTTATGCAAATTAACTGTTGCTAAACAGTGATAATACTTAACTGAAGACAGATTTTTTTGTTAAGTTTCTTTTAAGTTTAGCAATAATTGGTATCTGAACAATCTAGCTCAATTCATCTAAGAGCTGTTAGGTAGCTTACATCAAAATAATTGGTTGAAGTGATAATTATTTGGAGGCTGCCTCGAGATGCCATTCCCCTCATTGTAGAGAACTCAGGGCCTAGTTGTAACTATTATGAGGCTTGTTTGGGGCACAAATAATCCTTCTGCTTCATTATGCTCTTCCCTAGGTGCTACATTTGATTTATGTATCATAAAAATGTTTAAAATTTTGTCATTGAGCTTCTTCTCCTTGAAAAGAAATTATTGATGGATTGAATGAATACAACAAAAATATCAAGCTTTTATCCCATTATATAGGGTTAGTTATATGAATATCTTTTCTCCATTGCGTTATGTTAAGAGCTAAATTCTCATTTAGATCTGATAAAGAAATGTCATTTTTAATATTTTCTAACATAGTCTTTTTAGGTTTACCTCTATCTTTTTTAACATAAATCAAATCTAATACATCTACTATCCTAATCGGGTCACTAGAAGGTTGCCACCGTTTTATGTGACTAAACCATAATAGGAGGCCATCTCTAATCTTATCTTCCATTGGAGCTACTCCAACATTTTCACATATATGCTCACTACGTATCATGTCTCTAAGGGTAAAGTCACTTTTTCATCTGAGCATCCTCATATCTACAGCACTTAACTTAATATTACGCTTCTCTTTTAACGGCCAATATTCTGCACTATAAAATATTGCAGATCTCACCACCATCTTATGGAATTTTCTCTTAAGTTTGAGGGAGACTTTTCTATCACACAACAAGCCCGATGCATTCCTCCACTTCAACCATCCAACTTGAATTCTATTTATAATATCCCCATCTATTTCACCATCACTTTGAACAATAGACCCAATATATATAAAACATGTACTCTTATTAATGACTTGATCGCTCAAAATCACAACCCCCTCATTAGATCTATTACTACTAAAATTATACTATATATATTCAATTTTAAATCTACTCAAACAAAAACATTTAAACTCTAAGATTAATCTCTATAATTCAAGTTTACCTTCAACTCCCTCTATAATCTTATCAACATGAAGAATATAATCCTAAAAAAGCATGCACCAGGGTACCTCTTACAAATGTCTAGTGAGAACATCCACGACTAAAGCAAAAAGATATGGGCTTAAGGCTGATCCTAGATATAATCCAACTGAAATAGGAAAATATTTGGTCAAACCACCATATGTTTGAACACAAGTAATAGCTCATGCATACATATCCTTAAAATCTTAAATATAAGTATTATTAACCCCTTTCTTTTCTAGAACTTTCCATAACACTTCTCTTGGAACTTTATCATATGCTTGATTGCTTTCCTTATGCTCTCTATACTTCTCCATCAAACCTCTCAATAAATGTATAACTTCCATAGTAGACCTACCCGGCATGAATACAAATTGATTTTGAGAAACATTAACTTCACACCGCAACTTATATTCTATAACTCTCTCCCATAGTTCTAAATATGACACATTAACTTAATTCCTCTATAATTCACAAAATCTTTTGTGTCACCTTTATTCCTAAAAATAGGAATCAATACACTCGTTCTTCGCTCATCTAACATTATTTTAGTTTTCAAAATAATATTAAAAAGTTTATTAAGCCAAGAAATTCTTTCATCTCATAAGCATTTCCATACCTTTATTGGAATATCATCAGGTCCAACAACTTTTTCACACTTCATTTTCTTTAAAACCTCTCTAACTTCAGTTTTACTAATATATCAATACAAATAAAAATTTTATTTTCATTTAGGGTGCTAAGGTCACTAAAGTCAATCTTATTATCACAATCTTCCTTGAAAGGTTTAGCAAAATATCTCATTCACCTTTGTTGAATATCCTCTTCTAATTAAAATAATTTTTTATTTTCATCCTTAATGCACTTCACTTGAACTAAAATCTACTACTTCTATCTATTTGTTTGGCTAACTTATACATATATCTTTCACATTTTTAGTATATAATATATTATATAAATTATTGAAGGCCAAAATCTTTGCATCACATATTACTTTCTTAGACTCGTTACGGACCTCTTTATGTCTATCCCAATTAAATGGACTGAACGAATAATAAAAAAACAAAAAAATGGACATAAATATATAAATACTATTTTTTATTGGATTGCTACCAAGCAAAGACAAGCTTCCAATTATCTATGAAGAATATAGATAAATATTGCAAAAATGGAAAAGCTAAATGATAACTCTCCTATAGTTCAACATTTGAGAAGAAGAAGAATAGTTATTGCTGTCATTAGTTCAGCTTTAGGTTTGTAATTTCTTAGGTGCATCTTATCCAATAAAGGCAATATATATAAAGAGGTTTTAATAGGTTTTGAATGCAAGCCAAGCAAATAAGATTTAGTTATTTTTCTTATAAATAGCTTATATATTCCATTCCCTCCTCCTCTCTCCCTCTCTTTCTCATCTAAAAAGTTCAAGAGGAACTTCATCTTCCTCCCAAGAAGATCCAACAACTACTATTAGATATAGGTGGAGGTGGAGGAAGGCTCTTGTCCAAAGAAATAAAGAAAGAGAGGAGTTGGGACGGGTGGCCGTGGATCATATGTGGGTGCTTGATTAAAGCGGGTTGGGTGTGCGGTCAGAGGCTGATCGTGTCACGACCCGACCCGACGGGGACGGATCCCGCCCGAGCCGGATCGCGACGAGAGACCTTTCTTAACCAGGATCTGGCTTTGGATTAGGTTACTGAACTGATCTTTCAAATTCTTAACTCAACAGAAGCACACAGAACAACAGAGCTACTAAAAACATCAAATGCAGCGGAACAAAACATCTATCTTTCCATTTCCTCAAAATAATCATCTACAGAACAGTACATGGCTTTCAACAGAAAGAAAGACAGAACAGAAAAGCCATGACTGTACTAGGTAGCGCAGGCTATTCACGTATGACCAGAGTTGGAGGTGGGGTTTAGAATTATGGATTGTGACGTGGTTGCGTCGAGCAGGTCGTTGGTTGCATGTCTCGGGATTACAAGAGAGTGATATTCATGGAACCTGGGCTGCATGGGATAATGCATGTGGGGTGGCTGTGCAAGGGCTCGATCCATTCGCATAAGGAGGAGCATCCGGATGATTGATGGGCCTGGGTCATGCAAAGTTAGATGATGCGATGCACAAGAGGCTTCCCGCGAATAGTTGTTGGTGCCAAATTTGAGCTGCAATTCTTGATTAAAGATTTTTTTATATCTTTTTGAGGTGGAGCATTGGCAGCTACGATTCAAGATCATGTTGACACAAAGATTCAAAATCGACAAGTTCAATGGGGAGAACAATTTCAGCTTGTGGAGGATCAAGATAAAGGCATTATTAGTCCATCAAGGGTTGTCAGAGGTGATGTATAAATATGGATTTGTGACATTGATGGATCGGATGAAGGCAAGGGAAATGCAATCAAAGGCTCACAGCACAATCTCTCTTTCTCTTGGTGATGAGGTGTTATGAGAGGTTGCTGAGGAAGAAAATGCCATAAACGTATGAGAATCAATGTTCTTGAAATGATCACTTGCAAATCATATGTTCTTGAAGAATTAAGCAGTTGGATACCCCCCAAATGGAAGAATCAAAGGATCTTGGAAAACATATAGATGACTTTAACAAGATAATTTTTTATCTCAAGAATGTTGACTTGAGTATTGATAAAGAAGATCAATTCATCATCTTGCTTAGCTAGCTACCAAAAGCTTATGAGCACATAGTAGATAGTTGTATGGGAAGCAGAGTTTGACAATGATAGAAGTTAAGGTTGCTCTAATGTCAAAGGATGTGTAGAGAAAATTTGAACAGGAAGAACAAAAGATATGCAACATTCTGATAGGCTGATAGCAAGAGAAAGATCAGAGTTCAGTAAGAAATATTTCTATTGCTATAAAGAAAGACATTTCAAGAGAATTTGTTTGGATTTGTTGAAATAACAAGGTGCTAGACCCAAAGAAGATGCCAACTTAGCCGTGGAAACAGATTTGGGAGACAGATGGATTGATTCAAATGTTTTGTAAAATCTAGAACAAGGTGGAGATTGTTGTGATTGGTCCAGCTTTAGGTTTGTAGCTTATTTGGGGCATCTTATCCAATAAAGCTTACATATATAGAGAAGTTGTAAAAGGTTTTGGATGCAAGCCAAGCAAAAAAGATTTAGTTCCTTTTCTTTCAAATAGCTAATCTCTTCCCTTCTTCCCTCTCTCTCTCATCCAAGAAGTTCAAGAGAAACTTCATCTTCCTCCTAAGAAGATCCAATAGTGATGGTGGAGAGGAAGTTAAGAATGCCATTAGTTAATGCATTGAGTTCAAATTTCAGCTCCACTAATTTCTAAGAAGTTCATTCCATTTACGTCAACAATTATAACATTTGATAATAATCCTAAATTTTTTGAAAATATGCAATTGCATCTTGACACCACAAAAGCAATTGAGGATCCAAACAAGCTTGAAATTTTAATGGTGGCGATTGATATGAGAAAAATTATATTATAAATGGGACTTTTATGAGAGTTATAAAAATGCAATGTTTACTTGGCCTTGTAAATATTATCCTATTAAAGTTGGGTATCCACTCCAATGAGATTTTTTTAAAGCTGTATTCTAAGATAAGATGCCATTTTTTTTATTTTACTATAGGCATTAAGCCATTATTGGTAAAAATAAGACATTAAACAAATGTCTTTCATTATTATATGGAATGATAAAAGAACATTGGTGATGTAGAAAAATAAATTGGTGATACTAAGTGATATGTATAGAAGCAAGATAATATTATTGTTGTGATAATAACATTGCATAACTATAGACACAACCATAACGCACTTTAAATCCTA